ATTAGCTGCTGAGTTTTTCCCAGTTCTTTAAAATTTTTAGATGTTATCTGCAATGATTATACTCGGGTTCCGATAAAAGATGGAAGACCTGGCGATTATATACATGCTAATTATGTTAAAGGAAATAATCTTCGTAATACATACATATGTACGCAAGTCAGTGGAACACATTTTTTGATGAAATACATAGCTTAACCATTGGAACTTGATGACACTGCTTTAATCTGTCTTAGCTTAGGGTCCTATGCCAAATACAATAGAGGATTTCTGGCGCATGGTAGTTTGTGAGCGGGCGGCACATGTCGTGATGCTATGTGACACAATAGAAAATGGCAAAAACAAATGTGAGCAATACTGGCCGAATACACAGAATCAAAAAATGGAAGTCGGAGGTACAGTTCACCATCAAAAATGTTGAATCTCAGTGTCAACCTAAAACAATTGTCACCACTAACATCTGTTGCTGAGCTTAGCGGTTGTTAAGGAAATTATTCTAGTTTGTAGATTAAATATAGTTAAACAATCTTAATTTGTGCTAGCAAAGATAAAATTACATCCCTAATACTAACTGGAGTTTGACCATTTGTGTCATCCAGCTGCCTTAACCCTTTCACTTTCAAAAATCACTTTTCAAATTTTTAATTTGCTTCTTATTCAACATGATTGTTTTTATTGTTTAGAATGTTAGATGATATAGCTATTTCCAGATTTTATTTTGACAAACTTAAAAATAAATACAACTGATCACCATGTGGTTAGATCGACGATAGAGATACAAGTCAAGGGAGGCCAGCGCTTATTTGTTAAACATCATCGGTGGCACACATGGTACTGCTCTTCCGATTTCATTAATGAATTGTAATTATACGTTTATAGGCCTGACAAAACAGTGCCAAAGTCATTACTGGCAGTTTTTCGAATTCTAGAAGTGGTGCGAAATACAACTCATCCGATTGTAGTGCACTGTTCTGCTGGCGTAGGAAGAACAGGATCAGTAGTACGTATTACTTCTTTAATATCTCTTTTTTCAAACCTGAAAGACCTAGTGGCTCCTCTTTTAAATACAAATACCAGGTTGCGATAGAGATGGGCTTACAAACGCTATTAGCCGGTCAGAAACTAAATTTGTTAGAGGTTTGTCATAAGTTACGCGGTGAGTATGATACTCTCAAGGAAAAGGACAAGATTGATGATATGTTTTATATTATTCAAGATCAACGAATGCATAGTGTACAAGTCGAAGTACAGTACGTTTACGTAGCCGAAGCATTGTGCGAATATGGCAAAGCTATGGGATATTGGAATGAACAGGAGCTTCTCCAGGTTTTCTAGATTTCCAGATTATTTTCTTGAATCATTAATTTTTACCTTATACTGTTTCAGATGTTTGACAAATTCAAAGCTTCGTTCGACGATTATGTATGCAAACTACCCGTGCATGGTCAGCCTCCAGTACAATTACCAGATGTGCTTCAACCGGCCCTTCAACCAAATGGACTCATGCAATCGCCGGGCTATGCTCCAAAAGCCCCTCTTTCACCATCACCAATGTTCGAGGTTAATGAATTCATAACCAGTCTACTATAGCAAACATCTGCATGCATGTTCAGCAGTCTCACGCATCAAAACAGCAACCGGCACCTATCCTGCAACAGAAGCCGATTTCACCATTTCTCCCAGCTTTACTGCCGTCTAGCCCCGAAGTCGCGCCGGCAGCGAATAAGTTCTTCTCCGGTACTCCCATGACCGATTCACCCGCACAACCTCGACCCATCTGCTGGAATTAGCCATTAAGATGTATTTTGGGTTAGCTTTTAATTATTACTGCTTGAGGCTTCTTTAGTTCTGTTTTAGGAAAAATGTTATTAAAAGAACAAAGTGCAGTAAATAATACAGTTTTTCGTGATGCAAATTGACGAAGCAAAAGCAAACCTAATTGTAACCATAGATATTGAATGCTAATAATAATAAATAATAAATAGCTATGTTATACATTTTTATGTCACGCGGTAGTCGTGAAGTAGGAACTTCACCAAAAAGTTAGCGAGAACAAAAACATTTCGTGGATTACTCCGCCCTCGCACAAGGGATAGTGCGCTTGCGTTAGCGAAATGCTGCCTGCCGCTGATGTAAACAACCTTACGCTGTCCAACGGAGGTCTAGCCACATCGTCACTTAAATGTGTGACAAATTCACATCTCGCAGAGTATAGTGCTGAGGTGAGGAAGCCTATACAGTATTTTTGGAGGACTGTTCTCTTTCCGTTGGAAGTGTTGAAATGGAAATAATTCATTGAACAGGGCTAACACACTTATTCAATGTTTTTGAGAGATTTCCAGCCAATATGATGAGAGTGAGCAGCGAGAAATAACGCTGATGTAATGCGCTAAGTGCATAGCTGGCAGCAGAATGGATAATATAGTAAGAAAGTAAAAATGCCAGAAACTTTATAAGTTTATGAGGATTTTGAGACGGAAACAGCGATTTGCGGCAAGTTATTATACCTAGTTTTCCATAATTGCATTTACAGCCCTATCATCGCGCTTACAAGCGTTTCAAATTGAACAAATGCAAGCAATCACAACAATTACGAAATGTAGCTTAGCAATGGTCGACAACCAAGACGTTGTCTGAAGTTTTGATTTAATCTATCTAGTATTCGTTCCTTTTCAGCTCTCTCACTCTCAGCTAAAGATAAAAATTCCCTTTTTGATTCAATTACTGATGAATTTAAGGTTACAACTGAAAGAGTTTGGCTTTCTATTAAATGATTCCCTGGCGCCTTCAACAGAGCTATACACTCCCACATGGATTGCCGTTCCTGCAACGCATCCCCCCACTCCACGTTCCTCCTCCGCTCACACATCTTTAGAGGATAGTGTGTCAGCCTCGGTTTCCAGACTTCTTATCTCAAATCCACACTTATCAATGCCCTGTATACCACTACGCGCTCTTGAAGGCAGGAACCTTCGTCCCTCTTCACACTCCTAACTACGGTATCAGACAGAGTCGAGTTAGGCAGGTAGATTATGCTTAATTTTTGGAGCTTCACTTTTATGAAGTTTTAGCCCACCTTAGATGAAACTCTTGCCTTGTTATTGTAGCGTCAGGCAACCCATCAAGGGTGTACAACAGGCTTGCTGAGAAACCTCTTTCGCGCAAAAGTTACAACTTGATGGAAAGTTTCAAAAGGCTGGTGCGCTAGCGCAAAAGATCGAAATGCTAACAATGTGCGAGGATCGCCATTTGCGCGAAGGTCGGGAAGAAGGTGAGCTCTGTGAAGACACCTCTAAAATCTCAAGGCACTGCACCTTTGCGGCTACTTCGTGAACATATTTTCTGTAAAACAAGTAGACATTTTCCCGTACGGGAAAGGTACACTCGCACGAAGTTGCAGATGGATATAGATTCTACCACCAATCGCAAGCAGCCATCGGACAGAAGAAGCTTAGATTGTTACCGCCTATGCGCCACAAGCCGGGCGAGAAGAAAAAGCATCTTCCGCCAGGGCTGTCTTAGGCTGTCATACCATATCTCTACCTAAGGTGAGCTGTTCCTGCTGCGGACACCAACGTCCAAGTGAAAAGTGAACTAGTGCAAAGAGGAGCAACGAAATTACTGTTACGAATTGTGAAGTAAAAAATGCAAAGGCATTTTCGAATTTGCAGCAGCTTACGACTAATCACTGACGTTTCACATCAAGCACGAGAACACTTGATATTATATGATCAAGCTATGCTAGTTGCTGGAATAACTCCGAATTCTAAAAGGTTGCAAAGCCATCGCAGATCGAATTGACCTCAACATGAGCCATTTTACCCAGATTTAAAAATTCCATTTAGCAGAGGAAAAGAGCTATAAAAAGCGCTCGTAAGTGCTATATAGGCTCTATACGAAGGACTGAAGCATTCACAGTCAACTTTAGATCGTGAAGTCCATTTGCACTCCAAAACTCAGAGTTTACTAACTGTGTAAAGCGAATAGAAGATGAAAAGTTGATGGATACCTGATTATGTGGCGACAAATTTTTAGCGATAATAAAGGAAACAAGATAGGCCGACAAGCATGCGGGTTTCTAGAAGTGGACTCCTTGAGGGAAAGCGAGAGCGAACCAGAAGAATGCAAAAACGCAAAGATATGGAATCTTGCGGTATCACAAGCTTGGGAAACATTGAGAAGTGAAATCACAAAAACGCTATTTATCAACACTGCTACAGTTTTCGACATCAAGGTCGCAACATGTGGTGAGCGTGGCTCGCGCCGGATTTACGTATCACGCACCTTCCCGTATCTCTCAACACGCGAGCCTGGCGCGGTGCGAACACCTCACATCAGCGCATGTTAGGAGGATGCGAGGATGTTACGAGGTTCGCAATGTTGTGACATCGCGACAGGCGCAAGGTGAATTAGTGCGCGGATTGTAGAGAATCAGACATGTTGCGAGATTATGAGCTCGAGCACGCCATGTTCGTAATATAGGCAGTTACATCACGGACCACGCATTAATGACGCGCATTTTATCAGCTGAAGGAACAGAAACTAT